GGTTCAGGGTGAAATTCCGAAGCCCCATTAAGACGGGAACGCGAGGTGACGAAGGTCCAGCGAACAGGGCGGAGACCGAGGTGATAGCAGCTGCCACACCTCTGGACACAATGAAATAATCCAAGGTCTGCTTGTGACAGGTCGGAGCCTTGGGCGCAATGATTGTGCCACCTACAAGCGTACACCAGCCGAGCAGCCCAGGGCCCGAGGCATCAATGTTGAGGTCACCTCCAAGAGCCCAAGAAGTCTTAAGCTGTTCCAGGAACTTCCCAAGGTCCTCCAAGAGCTGGATGTTTAGGCCAGTGCACCCAATTCCAGTATAGCCATATACAGAGACCCAGTGCATTCCCCCAGGTACGACAGCTTGGGCGTGGGTGACGACAATCCTCCCACGCCCGACTGGCCCCACCCCGAGCTGCTCATACGAAAGGTGTCTGCTCGCAATATGACGTCGGACAGCGACAGCAACACCTGCCGAATTAGCTAGTTGGTGGTCTCCTGTGAGAACAGCAGGAGCATGCTGGGAGTTGAGGCCTCAAAAACCTGCCCAAGAAGTCGCCGAAGATACAGGGTCTCCTGCCAAAAGACGCGTCTCCTGGACAGCGACGAAGTCAGGAACCTCCCCCATGAGATGTATCCATTCCCAGACGTCCTGAAACCCGTTCCAGTTGTTAGGGTTGGTCGTGAAAAATCTCCAAACTTCGTCGTTGCTTTCTTGGGCCTTGGGACGCTGGCCCCCCCCCAACACTCCTGCCTGCAGGATGAGGCGAAGGGTCGGGAGCAGCAGTAGCACCTGGCGGAGGCGCCTGGTGCCACGTCGGCCGAGGCAAGGGGCCTGCAGCCGAGCTAGCAGAAGTCAACGCCCCCGCAGAGGAAGCCAACGTAGACGAAGCCGTCGCAGGAGCAGTAGTCGCAGCCGTCGAAGAAGGCGAAGAAGCAGACCCAGCCATTGCACCCGAAGCCGTCGCAGCTGAGGTACCTGCCGAACTGGAGGGCGAAGTAGGTGCTGCTGCTGATCGGCGTGGGGCACGACGTGATTGTCCAGGTAGCGGGCCAAAAGGTGGCGCTGGCCCCTGACGGTGATGGCTTGCGATCCAACTCCTCAAGGATTCATATTCATAGTTGTGCATACCAGCGGCAGCTAGCTGTTGATTGCGATTTAGCTTGCGAAACCAGCGAAGGAAACTCTGACGACTACGCACACCTTTATGCCAAGCACGAACACATATATCATGCGCCAGTTGCCGAGGCGTCTGCATACGCGCGCGCAAAGTATGCGCAAACCTCGGATGAGCAAGCTCTTGCGCAAAAAAACGCCTCACACCAATCACGATATGCTGCCTCGGCATCTGGCTGCAGTCCGTGATACGGGTTGTGGACCCATCGCTGGGCCCAGGCTCTGGCCTGTCGTTCCAAGCAGGGCGCAGGCACAATAGCGCGAGGCCCAGCTGCAGCCATGCGCGAATCTGGCAAAACTGCCAACCCGCCTCCCCCATGCGCTGGTTCCCTCGCCTCCTGTGGAGAGGGTGCCCCATGGGGAAGGGCAGGCTGGTGGCGACGCATAGCGTTCTGACGCCCAGGTCGAAGACCCAGTAGACGAGGCGGTAGGTCCACTGGTGGCAATCGTCCAGTACGTGGAGGACCCAGCACCGCAAGTACCCAAGCAGCTCGCGGCAATCCTCGCCGTCGTGGGTGGACCAGTCGTCGCAGATGCCCCAGCAGAAGCCGTAATCTGTGTCGTTCGTGCCTCCAGCCCAAGGGGGGGCACATCCCTGGCCAGCTGGAGGTCTGGTAGCACCTCTAAGATGGACATGTGGCGACTTCTGCTGGAAACCACGCACCGAACCTCCAGGGAGACTCGCGCCGTGGAGTCGCCACGGGGTCATCCCCTTCTCAGGGAAGGTGGGGCCAGTGAGTGCGCCGCACTGCGTAGATGCTGATCCACTCATGGCACTGCAAGTTGCAGATCGTGTTGAGGAACCAAAGGTAGTAGATGGGGAAGAGGGGCGTGTCCAGGGCAGCCGGGGGCTGTAGTCGCAGGTGACTCTGGTCTGCATCCCACCAAGACACTCTTCATAAGGTAGAGAAAGACAGGCATCATTATTCCAGTTGGTATCCCCGACGCAGAAGTTACCTGCATGTCCACCTGAAACGTGATGCTCTGGAAGGTATTGATCAGCATCCAAGGTGGCACTCGACGGAGTAGCAAGCAAAACCGAATGCTGGTAGCCGAAGTCATAGTTCATGTTACCCCTGCTGTGGAGGGCCTGTAGCGACGCACCCAGCAGCCAGCTTGGCCTTCGCACCATTGAGGATCGATGTAGAACGGCGTGCTGGCTTGCCATTGGCCTTCTTACTGGAGGCTGCTTCAGCTTCAGGGGCTGCAGGAGCACCAGGCGTAGAAGGCGCAGCCTTGGGGTCAGTTGAGGTACCTGTCGGCTGACTGGCAGCAGCCTCCGTAGCCGCCTTAGCCTCGTCATCATTAGCTGCTGCATCACCTGGCCCAGGTTCCTCTTGCTGCTCGCATCGTCGCTTCTTAGCTGCCACTCGCTGTTTAGCCAAGGTGTGCTCTTGCTTGAGCTCATCAGCTTTGGCCTTGACCTGCCCGAAACAGACGGTAGCCAGTTCCCGAAACTTCTCCTGAAGGGCCTCTTTCCTCTTCTGAGCCTCCGCCAGGTCCTCGGGCGAAACCAATTCCCCCATCTCATCAAGTCCAAATAGACCTCCGTCGTCGAGGTCCAGGGGCTTACCATCCAGGGTTGCGGCCAAGTCGAGACGAGGGGCAGCAGGAGCGTCGGCGCTGTCAGGCAGTTTCGTGTCCACCGTCTTTGCAAGCTTCTGGACCGCCTGCTTGTAGATGCTGCGGGCATGGTCCACTGCTTCTCAACAGGACTCAACTTGGTCCTGGGCCGTGACGAATTGTTCTTCCAGCGCCTCGCAGTAGGTGATGGCCCTGCGGAGGGCTGCCTCCGCTTGCTCCACCTTCTGCTTCGCCTGGCCGACGCTGATGTTCTCAATGGCCTTCTGCTGATTGAGCAAGTCCAGCTTCGACTGGTACTTGGCTGCCATCTCCGCGTCACCATTGGCACGGAGGAGCTGGATGAGGTCTGCCAATCGTGCCTGCTCCTGAGATTCACCATTGGGGCCTGGCCATGCCGATTCTTCCAAACAGAAACGTTGGGGCGAAGCAGTTCCTGGCCGCGTGCCGTCAGCAAAGGGTACCGATGGGACTCGCCGTGCAGCGCCAGGCCCTGGGGAAGACACTGCTGAGGCATCCACCAATTGTCCATCGCGTCGTATCCAGGGCACGCGTCGCGGCGCTTGACCACGATCAGCAGCAGGCCCAGGAGAACGACCAGGCCCACGCGGACGTTGAAGCACGGCATCATCGGCAGCGGGCATCGGCGCCTTGCAGTGTTTGCACCATTTCCACCATCGCTTGTTGCGTCCACAACCGCATTGCTCACACTTGGTCGCGGACGGACTCGAGAAACGGTGGGCAGCGGCCGCGCGCACTGGTGTGTCAGAGCGCTGCATGGCTGCGGGCGGGGCAAACAGAAGTGCACGTCTGACGGCGCCGTGCTGGACAACGGTCGCCACAAGGTATCGGCCTCGTGGTATGTGAAAGTGAAAGGGAATTGCTCACGCCCTGGCTTGGCAGCCACCTGTGGGCGCGAGCTCAAGGAGCTGTCCTGGCCAGCTGCCTTGACAAATGTATTACTTGAGCCAAAATGGCTACGGTCCCTCCTCCTCCTCCTCCTCCTCCTCCTCCTGACTCCAGGCCCCAAAACCGTGCGACGGACCGTGCGGTGACCGCAGAATCCCCAACGACCACACAGTTTGGTCCGTCCACCCGTCCACCACGGTTTTGGGTCCCTGGAGGTCCCAGTCGCCCGAGGCCAGGCTGTGACCCTGAAGGCCGAGACGTCCTCGGAGGTCGCCCTGGAACCTTGGAGGTCCCAGTCGCCCGAGACGCTGAAAACCGTGCAGTGACCCCGAATCCGCACTGACTCACCACGTGGTGTGGTCACCACACCGTTTGGGGGCCCCCGAGAGGGCATAGAGGAAGAAAAAAATGCATAAACATCAAATTTCGACGGTCCGCGCGGATTGCTGGGATCCGCGCTGGAACCCTCCTCAATGGCGCGCGGAGCGAGCCAGGGGCGGCGCCGGAGGCGCCGCCAGGGGGGCCCGGGCCCAGCGCCGGTCGAAGAATTCCGCGCGGAGCTCCGAAAGTTCATGCTGATGCCCTTTTGTCTCCTCCGAGACAGGGGGAATGGAGGCGAGAAACTCTGGAGCGTTTGCGCGGAGGAAGGAAGGCCGCATGGCACTGGCCGGCGCCCTCTCGGACAGGAGCGAGGCGGTCAGCCGGTGCGCGCGCTGCTCAGCCAGGCGCCCTCCCCACGCCTCGGACTGGGGCAGGAACAATGTCGAGACGGAGTGGAGAGGACACGCGAGAGGACGCAAGACCCGCCCGAGGGCCACCTGGCCGCAGGAATGCAGAGGAGGCACGGGTCTCAAAGCACAGGGCACGAGAGGGCGCCCTTGATCTGGCAGAGCCGACCCACTAATCCACCTCGACTGTATGCGACTGGCTCAGGACGCGTGCCAGAGCTGATCGGTGGCGCGCCCAGGGGGGAAGTGAGGGGGGGGCAGGCCCCTCGGAAGGCGGTGGGGCGTCGGAGAAGGCTCAGGCAACTTCTCGGGAGGCCTTCTGAGCCTTCTGACGAGGCCTGCCCCCTCTGCCTTCACCTCTGGGTGCGCCGCCGACAAGCCCCTGCAACACCTGGGACCAGAAGCGCTCCGCGGTGGAACTCTGGACTGCTGGATCTGGAGCTGCTGCAGCTGCGGCACAGGATCCAGCCTGGCCTGACGCTGTGCAGTTCTGAGCGCTCGTTCGGTCGCCTCCCCGGTATGGGACTAAACAAGCGGAAGAGTCTGTTCAGTGCCGACGCCGAAGCACACGAAGCCGCCCCTTTGGCTGCCTCGGCGGCCTGGAATTAGTATCCATCCGCATTGCCATCTACCTTCCTGATCAGGACGACCGCGTTCATCCGTTCAGTTATACCTCGCCCACGCCAGTCTTCGCAACCTCTTCTGCTTCGCCTCCTCGTCCTCCACCTCCACCTGCAACTGCGCCTGCACCTCCACCCCCTCCTCCCCCTCCCCCTCCCCCTCCCCTCCCCCTCCTCCTCCTCATCCTCTTCTTCCGCCTCCCTGCAGGTGATGGGGGGCGTCGAGCGGAATTGGCCAGTCGCAGTAGCAGCTTCTCGAGGTCGTAGCGGAGAATCTTGTCGTAACCCTCTACAGAGGACGTGGTAGACAAGAAAAGAGGAAGCGTTTCCTCCGCGTCCAACTTCATGTAGTCCTGAGCGGTGCCATCCCTCCTCCCTCTCTCTCCCCCTCACTCTGCTGCCGCGGCCCTGGCACCTGCCACATTCCATACCCGTCCTCCTTCCACTTTTCCACTTAGTCCCTCTCCTTTCCGCCCCTATGCTCCTCCTCTTCCTCCGCGGAGGATCAGAAAAGCGAGTCCTGTCCGAGCGCCCGGCGATATCTGCGATTATCTACTTCCCCACTCATTCACCTCGCGCTCCCTACTTCGCCACCCCATCGCCTCGCGCACACGCGTTGGCACCCAGCACAACGAGTCCGTCTGGAGGATCGGCCTCCAGGTTGATCCTCTCTATGCCGCCTTGTATTACTTTGACGCTTCTCTGAGAGAGAGAGAGAACATAAACGAGAACCAGAGAAAGAAAGAGAGAGAGAGAGAGAGACACACGGGCGGGGAAGACGGCGGATGCGGAAGCGAAGAGATAGAGGCGCGACGGAGGGACGAGAGACGCGTCGGGCAGGGGGGCGGCGGCGGGATGCACGGAGGAAGGACGCAGGAGCGAGAAGGTCGGGAGCGGCCAAGAGGGGGGGGTGCAAATCATGACCGGCAGCATGTGCGCGGCCCAGCGGGGGGGGCCAGGGACGTAGTGAAAAATAAAGAGGGGCGCCAGGAAACCTGCGGAAAGATCATGGCCCACGCCATGATATCCACCCCCCCTGGTCATCACCCCCCTCTTTGCCGCCCCCGAGAGGAGGAGGAGGAGGAGGAGGAGGAGGAGGAGGAGGAGGAGGAGGAGGAGGAGGAGGAGGAGGGGGAGGAGGACGAGGAGGAGGAGGAGGAGGAGGAGGAGTAGGAGGAGGAGGGTCATCACCCCCTTCCTTGCCGCCCCCCCGAGAAGGGAGCAGCCCAGACGCCAGCGGCCCGACACTTCCTCGAGCCACGGGCCCCCGACCCCTCTCGACCGCCTCCTCGCGGGCCTGGCTCCTCGCCCCGGAGCCGCTCTCTGACGGTGCCGAGGCCTGGTGAGGGCCCCGAGAGTGAAGGGGCCCCAGGACACAAATAAATACACACAAATAAAATGATGCCCCATATTTTCCTATATTTTCTGGGTTCTTGTCTTCCCCCCCAATTCCCATAGTTTCCCATATTTTCTGGGGAATGGAGGATTAGTTGTGTCTGTGTGTTTCTTTCCCTCCTGAGAGAGGCCGAGAAAAACGATGTCTGTGTCGCTCCCCTCCCGGGCCCGTGTCCGGTCGCCCAGCGGGGAAGTGGATCTCGAGTTCGGCTCGAGCTGTGCGTCGTTGTCCCAGGAGAGACGATCGCAGGCTCGCCTGCGGGGTTCCTGTCCGGTAAAAGGTTAGTGCCTCACGCCCCGGCGATTCGCCCATGTGGCAGTGCGGCCACCGCGACCCTGATGCGCACCCAGGGACGGGCCGCCCAGGAGGAGCGGGCCAGGCAGGGGGCAGAGACGGAAAGGGGAGGAGGCGAGAAGCGAGAGAGGGAGGGGAAGGGGAAGAGGGAAGGAGGACGACGGGAAAGGGACAGACGGGGCCGACGGACGGAGGGGGACAAAGGGGGGGGGGACGGAGAGGGGGGCAACCGAGCCAAGGGGGGGGGGGAGAGGGAGGGAGAGCGCGCCACGACGAGGGGCGGGGAAGCAGCCAGCACAGGGGGGCAAGCAAGGGAGAGGCAGGGAGGGGGGGAGACAGGGAGAGGAGAGAGGAGGGGAGACCGAGAGCGGGGGAGAGGAGCCGAGGGGCCGAGGCAGTTCTTGTTCGAGGCGCCGGGATGTCTGGGGAGGGGAGGACGGAGGGACGAGAGGGAGGCAGCGAGACGACGAGGGAGCCAGGGAGGGGGGCGGCGCAGGAAGGATGCACGGAGAAAGGGGGGAAGGATTGGCGGCGAGCGAGGGGGGGACGTGAGAAGGAGAAGGCCTTCTCAGAAGCCCTCGCGCCTTCTGAGAGGTTTTTTCTGTCTCTGGGGAAGACTTAGAAAACTTGTCAGAAGGCCGGGTGACTTCCGAGACTTCTGAGAAGGCCTGCCTCTTCTCACTTCCCCCCTCGCTCGCCGCTGAAAGGAGGGAGGTGGAGCGCAGGAGCGAGAACAGAAAGGGGGAGAGTAGCACCGAGTATCGAACTGTCCGGCGCAGTCGTTGAAAGAAAGATTACCAACCGCGGCCCTGCTCAGCCACAGGCCCACCGCAGCACCTGTTAGAGTGCTCGCGGCGATGGGGCTTCACACACTTCTCGCACGGGGCCCCAAGACCACGCAGTGGCCGATCTCCGAACCACCAACACGTCATACAGAACCAACATGACGAGACCCGATCTGAAATTTGACGCGAGCCACCGCTGCAGACGTCCCGCGAAAACTGTACCGCCAGAATCCGAGACGAGCCCGCCAAAGAGCGTGTGCAAGGCCGAGTTCCGCCAAACTCGAGCCTCACCTCTCCCCGATAGTCGGCTACACGCAAGAGTGACTCTGGGTAAGAGTGACCTTTGGCGTCCTTTTGGGACCGCGGGTGGGCCGAAAGCAAGCGCGCAAGCTGCTGCTACCGCTTCTCTTTCGGCCATCTGGGGGCCCATCTGTGCCCGCACCAAAGGTCACTCCGGCGAAAGGTCACTCTTACGTCCAGTCGAGATAGTGGGGGAGATGAGGAGGAGGGAGGGACGAGAGGGAGACGACGAGGGAGCCAGGGGAGCGAGGGGGGGCGGGAAGGACGCAGGGAGCCCAGGCCCAGGGCCCTCGGGGCCGCCTGGCTCTCCCCGCGGCCTGCTGCCACGTGCCCCTCCCGGCCGGGGAGAGGGAGAGGAGGGGGAGGAGGAGGAGGAGGAGGAGGAGGAGGAGGAGGAGGAGGAGGAGGAGGAGGAGGAGGAGGAGGAGGAAGAGATAGGGAGAGGAGGAGGGAGGCAGGCTACGAGGCTGTGCGATGGGACGCGCAAGGGCATACCGGTGCTGCGTGTCCTCCTCTTGGAGTGCGTGCGCCCGCCCCGAACAGTATCAGCATCTTGTCACGTGTCGATTCACGAGCGGTACGGCCAGAGAGCGCCCGCCACGGAGCTTGTGCTGGAGGATTTCTCGGCGCGCGCGTCGCCCCTGTTGGGGGCGACGCAGACATAGCATCAGGGAACTATTGGACAATGAATCCAGGGTAAGGAGGCTGGTAGAAGCTCAATCGTGGACTGGCAACGGATATCACCACCGCCCTCATGAGAGAAGGGAGCATGCAGGGTCTGAAGCCTTCCGGGCACCTTCCATAACGAACGCCCCCACCTCAACTCGAGGTCAGGCTTCGCTCTCCACGGCGGGCGCGACAGAACACTCAGTCCTCTGCGCCAGTGGAAGAATTCGTGAACAGGGCTGAACCTGAACGGTGTTTTTCGTTTTCGTTTTGTTTTCGTTTTCCCTCGTTTTGTCTTCGATTCGCCTTTACCGCAAAACGAAATCGGAAACGAAAACGGCCCACGAAGTCGCCAAAACACGGTTTGGGTCCAGCCCTGTTCGTGAGAGCGGACCCTCTCGCGACGGCGCGCGTGCTCACGGGCAGGCGAGACGACAGCCGAGGGGACAGCAAAACCACGAAGGCTCGCCACCTCGAAATCGAGGAGGAAGGCAGAAAGGATAAAGGACAAGAAATGAGGAGGAAGATTAAAAATCGCGCTTGCCGAGAGCACCGGGATTTCCAAGATTCGTTCCCAGATGTCTGATCGTGAGGGCGGTCCATCGCGGAGCCGTGCTGACCCAGCGAGGAACACATCTGCGCACCCGCAGACCATCTTGAGGCTGTCCTGGGGCGCGCTGAACCGTTCTTGGGACCATGCTTGCGCCCCTTTGGGCCTCTTGGTGTCTCGCGGGGCGGCCTTGGTCCCTTGAAGTTGGATGATGTAAGTTTCTCGGGGCCTTGTCGAGGAGCTTCCCAGCACCTCCAGCAATCGTTGGGCCGTCGCGGAGCCTCCTGGGCGCATTGCGGAGGCGCCGTCTCATGGAGCCGTCACGGGGTCCTCTTGCGGCTCTCTTGGGACCGTTCAGGTGGCCTCTTGAGCCCACCCTGGAGCCCTCGGAGACAATCTGGGGCCCCTCAAGGCCATATTGGGTACCTCTTGGGTCCGTCCGTGTCAGGCCGTCTCGGGGCCCTCTTGGGCCGGCTTGAACCCCCTCAGGGGCCCCCCTTTGGGATGTTAAAAGCAATATTGGGACGCCTTGAGCCCCTCTCGGCCCTTTCTTGGGACCCTTCTGGGCCGTCTTGAAGCGATTTTTTGTATTAGGACATCGTAATATTCGCCCGAGCAAGGGCACAAACATTACATGTGCTTCATCCCCATCGGCAGACCTAGCGCTCTGGTCACTGATTGTGAAGCGCCAGGACGGATACCGCAACAAACCGGCACAACAAGCAGACATACATAAACAAGCCAACCAGAGATGCACAAGAAGCTGCTAACATAATCTTCAACGTGCTGCCCTTTATTGAGGATAGGAACGGCCTTCCCCCATGGTGAGACAAAATGATTTCCGATCGTCAGATTCTCATCCAAATGCTCTATGAGCTTGTGGCTGTATCCGGTAAACTCCCAGATGCCATCTGCAAGAGCAATGCTCTTGCCATTTCTGTCTCGAGAGGAGAATGTCCGACTGTATGCCTCTATTTGACGCCCTGGAGGTCGCACCTTCCAACCAGAGGATCCAAAGGTCAGATAATAAACAAAGAACTGGCGCGCATACTGAGCATGGAGACTGGTCTGTGGCAACAACAACTGTCTGAACGATTCTAAACGACGGGGAAACATGAATTCGTCCAAATCAAATTGTCCAATCCAAAACGTCGACCTTTTTTCAACAAGCTCTTTCACGGCAAAAGATCGATATTCCCGTTGTTGCCGCCGGTCGTGATCTTGTTTTCCCGTCTTGCCATTTGTCGATGTGATCTCCTTGACGCATTCCCCGCGCCTGTCAGGTCTGCATTCACGCAGATCAACAATCCCATGTCTTATATAATCTTCAAGGACAGCTCTCGTCGTGCTGGAGTTGCTGGC